TTACAGTATCTCTAAATCCAAAGTACACAAGAAAAGAACTACAAGTTCCAGAGGATCCTTGAAAGTAAGAAAAAGCAAAAGCGAAAATGTCAATATTGTAGTGAAGCATCATGATTCCTGAAAAAACAAAAAACAAAAAACAAAAAAAAAAAACCAAAAAAACAAAAATTTATTCCAAATGTCAAATTTTTCCATGCTACAAAAGAGAAGAGAGACCTCCTTTCAATTTTCTCTCTCAAAAATGAACTACAAACTTCATGCCTTTGTTTATTCCTCATTCTGAATCGCTTTCCATGCTGCCCATGGCTTTCAATCCTCTAGGTCTCTGCATTTTCACAGAACATATGAAAACAATTGAACAAGAAACACATGGAAGATAAATCTTGGTCAGATTCTCAGAGATAATGAAAACACTAAGTCTAAGATTACCCTTTTAGATGTCTTCTTCTCCCTTACTTCATATCTCTCTTGACATAGGTCTGACAACCATGCACCTGGACTCACCAACTGAAAACACAATTAACCAAAGAAACTAAATGCATCAACGAAATACCCACATCATGAACAAGTTCTTATTCATGATCCAGGAAAAAGACTCACAAGGATGCTCTTTTGGATCAACTTGGCTCTTTTCTTGGGTCTTTGAGGAAGCTTACAACCCTTCATAGCCATGAAATCCTCTTCCTTTTCTTTGCTAGACAATGTGGTAAATAGTTTTGGCCAAACAAGTGCTTTATCTTCCTTCACATGATCCATCAAAACCTTCCTAGTATCATCCAACCCTAAGGAACCCCTCGTGGCATAGTACCTATCTTCCTTCTCTGGTGATGTCGCTGATGACCTTCTGTTGGTTGTTGGCAAATCAAGATTCCTGTCATTAAGATATATCGGCCAACAGTATGAGCAATTTTAGTTCTGCAACTGGGAAATTTCAGGAAATTTTCACAAATGTTCAACCAGCTTTTTTTCTCAGCAACCAAACAGGCTAATAGTTCAGTTATCATAGATCATTTTTCAGTTTTAGAATCATCCTAAAACTTGAAGTTGCTCCCAGTTATACCTCTCAAGTTTCCTGCATTTACTTCCAGTACATTTTCTCACCAACCAAACAACATATACATGATATATGTCACAAATACAATGCATTTTCACAAATAAAACTACCCAAGACAAGAACATCAACAAGGAAAACAAAGAGGATAAAATGAATTTCTTATGCACATCAAAGACCAGACCTTTGCTGTTAAATTTGTTTCCCAGAAACAACAGGAATATCTACAAATTAATCGAGTTTTCCATTCATCAATTGCCACAAAGATTTAAGATTTTATTTCTGGTATTGTTCTCTTACTTGTTGAGACGGTTGATCTGCGGAGAAGATGATTCCTTGGCCGGAGAGATCGCAAAACTTGAGAGCTTCCTCTTGGGCAAAGCGTCTGTTGATTTGTTGTTGGTATTGTTGGCAGAGTACTGTGCTTTCTTAAGCTTATAACATCTAAGCCTCTTTCGGTTTCCCCATTGTAACACAAAATCCGTCTCTGTACCTCCACTATTCCCTCTTTGAATCTTCCCCTCTTTCTCCATGTATGATTCACCTAACTCTCTTTCTGATCTGAAAAACCATAGCCAACATCTTAAAATTTCTGTGAAATACTTTCAAAACAAAAAAATCGGAGGTGTACAAACCTGCAGAAGTCCCCTCTTTTTCCCTTCAGCAAATCAAAAGGAAACTGGTTTGAATTTTTGACAGTTAGTACTGGTTCATATCTATGAACTCAAGATCTGCCGGCGAATTCGGTGGAGTGAAACCAAGGTCTCACAAATTAACCTGCAATCGAAGAAATTGAGAACAACCCTTTAATGAAGCTGAAACTGCAAAGATCACTCAGCCAATGCTCTGTTTGTTTCCCGAGAAACCGCAATAGAAAAGAAAAAAAAAAGAAAATTTTCAATCTAAGCACTGGTTCAAATGATCCCAGAAGCCAAAGAACCCAAAAGTTTCTGCAAACAGAAGATAACGGAAAAGACAAAGAGAGATTACAAGAGGGAAACTTGATGACTTTGGTAGCAGCAAGCAAACAACTTTGAATCATCTTCTTCTAGAAAACCAGAAAATTTTCTCCAGGATCAAAGATCTACGCATTCAGAATTCTGGGTCAAGTTTGGTTTTGCAATTGAAATCCAAAAATGGATATCGGCGCTTCTCTTTCTTTCTCCCTGTGTATGTATGTATATAACCATATGGTTCTTCTTTGTGCGTTCTCTGTTGTATCTTTTTTCACCCTATATTTGTTTCTTGCTCTTTATTGAGGAGTAGACAACTAGGCTAAATTCTGATTTTGGTCCCTCAACTTTAAAATTTTATATAATTTTTATCTTTTAATTTTTTTATATATTTTTTTATCCTTTAATTGT